TAGTTCAATCTTCATCTCTTTTATTGAGTTATTTAGCTCCAGAATTTGGTTATTTTTTTAAAGTCTCGATCTGTTTGGTAAAATACCCCTTTTCTTCACTGATTTTATTTCTGAGTTTATTAAACTGCTTATCTGATTTTTCGTGTATCTCGTTGAGTTTTTTTCAGAACTGCAATCTTGAATTCTCTATCATTTAAATCACATATTTCCATGTTTATTTTCTGGAGATTTTTCATTTTCTTTCTGAGCTGCCTTGTTACCTTGGTTGTTCATGCTGTTTGATGGACTATTTTTCTTCCTAGGCATTTATGGGAATGAATTTTTTTTTTTTTTTTTTTAAAGAGTAATATTTCTAGCTGGTTGATTAGAAGCGGTTTTTCTGTTTTCCAGTAGGTGGTGCTGAAGCACAGTATTTTATTTTTTCTTGCACTGCTCTGGCTTCTGGATTCTGCAAGGCAGTGGAAAATTCCCTGTATTCCCTGGGGAGATGGGTGTCACCTCTATGACCAGGTTGCCCCAGACTCAGGGCACCACACCCGAGGGGGGATGTGGTGGGCGATGGGGTTCACAGCTGTGAAATCCCACCACTGCCCGCTGAAACCAGACACTGCCAGCAGTATTGTACTGTCCCAGGTGTCCCAGGTGCCCCTGCTGGGATCTGTTGCTGTGGGTAGGTGCAGGGTGGCTTGGGAGAGACTGGTTCGTGCATTTATGATTTTGTTTTCCTCCCAGTAATTGTGACTGCCAGATCTCAGCTGCCTCACCTCTGTGTCTCCATCCTTGTAACTGGAAATTAGCTGCGGTATGCATCTGCCGCTTGGGGAAAGAATACTCCTGTCTCTCCAGTTCTCAGGGCTGCAGGTAGTTTTCTCTGTAACCCAACACTCACTGGTACATCTTCTTCTGGGGCTTGCTGCTAGTTCTGGAAGGATGAGAGGAGACAGCTAGGCTCCAAGCTCCACGGCTTTGTTTTCTGCCTGGCAGTGGTGGCTGCTTGACCACAGTTGCCATACCTCTGTGTTCTATCTCTGCCCCAGTCACTGGGTTCAGCTGCAGTATGGGCTAATCACTCAGACAGGAATGTTTATTCTATGCCCTTGTTCCTTGGGGCTGCAGAGAGTGCACAATGCAGCCTGATTCCTCTCCTCTCCTGAGACCTACAGTGCGCTCTGGGCTGTCTGTGGCACCCCTCTTTGCTCTTCTCCCTTCCGTCCTCCCCTCTTTGCTCTGATTTGCCCACCTTCAGATGTTTGGATGTGCGGTTCTCTGAGATGTGTTTGTGTGTTGAGCAAGGAATCCCTTGATAAATTACAGCTGTTCAACCTGTAGCTTCAAGGGAGAAACCAGGGGCACCTCTCATGCCACAATGTTTCTCTCTTTTAGCATTTTGAATATATTAGACTACAGTCTTCTGGTCTTCAAAGTTTCTGATGAGAAATCCGCTGATAATCCTACTGAAGGTCCTTTGCATGTGATGATTCTCTTTCTCGTGATTTTATGGTTTCCTCTTTGAAAGTTTGATTATAATGTCTTAGTATTGGTTTATTTGAGTTTATCTTACTTGAGCTTCTTGGATGTTTATGTATTTCATTAAATTTGGGAAGTTTTCCGCCACTATTTTTTCAAATATTCTCTCTGCCCCTTTCATTCTTTTTCTAAGACTAGCACAGTGTGTGCGTTGGTTTGCTTTGCTTGATGGTGTCTCACAGGTCCCTTACAATCTATTTGGTTTTCATCAATCTTTTCTTTCTATTTTTCAGCCTAGATAATTTCTATTGTCTTATCTTTAAGTTCACTGACTTTTTTCTTCTACCTGCTCAACTCTGCCTTTGAATCCCTCTATTGAATTTGTCATTTCAGTTATTGTACTTTTCAGCTTCAGGATTTCTTTTTGGCATCTTTTATAAGTTTCCTGTCTTTATTAACATTTCCATTTTGTTCACACATTGTTTTCTTGATTTTTTTCCCACAACTTTTTTTAGTTCTTTGAGCATCATTAAGATAGTGTTTTAAAGTTTGTCTAATCTAAATGCCGTAAGTCTTTTTCAGGGACGGTTTCTGTTGATTTATTTATTTTTTCCTTTCCTTTCCTTCCATACTTTCTTGGTTTTCTTTGTTTTTTTTTTGTTGTTGTTGTTGTTGTTGTTTTGGTATGCCGTGTGATTTTTTTGTTGAATGCTAGACATTTGAATCTTATAATCTGGAAAAACCCTTCCTCAGAAGTTGGTGTTTTTATTATTTATTTATTTTTTTTATTTTTGTAGGCTGTGTGAGATGTAAACTTAATATCTAAAGTTTTTTTCTGAGCTTTTCCTTAGGCATGGATAATTTCCCTTTCTAATTTTCCCTTTATGTGCAGTTGTTTTTAAATGTCCTAGTTTTAAATTTCTGGCTCCTGAAAGTGGGAAAGCAAAAACATGAAGTGGAGTAAAATGGGCTCCAGCCCTTTAAATTCATTAGAAGTCACTTAAACTGTAGTGGGTGGGGCTTGTAGTAATGGGGTGAGAATGGGGTTAACAAAAATGTCTGCCTGCCTCTTTATCTCTTTGTACCTCTGTGATCAGAAGCATGAATCAGTGATCAGAGCTGATTGATCCCTGTCATTTGGTTCATTTTCCCAACCCTAGCTCATGTAAGCTGTGTGCAAGCTGCTCTAGGTACATATACACAGCTGCCTGCCACATGGCTGAAGGTAGGAGAATGGGTAGCTGTTATTACACAAAGAGCTGAAATTGACCAGAATTAACTGCAGTTTCCCATCTAAATCTTCCCCTGGAAGTTGTAAGACTTCAACAGACTTCCGGGTTCCAAAATAGTTATATCAGTCACATTCTGTCACTGCAATTGTTGTCTAGGAGATAGATTCCTGGTGCCTCCTACTCCATCATCTTCTGCGAATCGTCTCTATAATCCATTTTTGAGTTAATTTTTGTGGACAGTATGAAGGAGTCCAGATTCATCTTTAGTCATGTGTATATCAATCAAATTATTCTAGCACCACTTGTTGAAAACAGTCTTGTTTCCTTAATGAAGTACCTTGACACCTTTAAAATAGTGTCATTTTGTATATTTATTAAGCACTGATATACAATATTTTTTTCTTTCAAACACTTTCTAAGATAATGTGAAGGGGAAAGGATGAATAGTCATTGAACTTTGGGTCATTTGCTCACAAATACAATTAAGATGGGTAAAATTGGGAGTATTATAGCTCAAGAATGTGGGACATTTGTTAAGCTAATGAGAGTGAAAGAAACATTTTCTTTAGTCTCTGATTTCAAAACAGGAAGTTGAAGAGGCAATGCTACTTTTCTTGGAGAACATATAAAATTTGTAATTTAACGTAATCGAGTAGATTGTAATAAAATCTTATCTACCATTGGTTTGCAGAATTTATGTAAAAATTATTTTTAAATGTAATGTAAAAAATTGAGCAGCACAAAGCTATAGTAATCAAGCCAGTGTGGTATGGCATAATGGTAGCTATAAAGATCAACAGAATTAAGAATCCAGAAAAGAAATCCTTACATTTATGTTTTATTGATTCTGGACAAGGATGCCAAGACAATTCAGTGTAGAAAGAATAATCTTCTCAGGACATGATGCTGGATATCCCCATGCAAAAGAATGAATTTGAGTCCTTCTTCACAGCATGCACATACACACAAAAATAAAATGGATTGTAGACCTAAATGTACAAGCTAAAACTATAAAGCTCTTAAAAGAAAATATAGGAGTAAATCTTTATGACCTTGAGTTTAGACAATGGTTTCTTGGATAAATTGGACTTCATCAAAATTAAAAACGTTTGAGATACAAAGGATATCATTAAGAATGTAAAAAGACAACCCTAGAATGGGAGAAAATATTTGCAAATCATATATATTTGTTAAGAGACTTGTATCTAGAATATTTAAGAACTCATAGAGCTTGAAAATAAAAAGCAACCCAGTTAAAAAAATGCGCAAAGGATCTCAGTGGACATTTTCCTAAAAAGATACAAATGTCCATGAAAAGATGCTCGGCACCATTAGTCATCGGAGAGATGCAACTCAGAACCACAATGAGATACCACACCACACCTACTGGGGTGGCTATAATGAAAAAAAAAGACAGGTAATAACAAGTGTTGGTGAGAATGTGGAGAATTTAGAGCTCATGCACTGTTGGTAGGATTGTAAAATGGTGTGGCTGCTTTGAAAAACTATCTGGCAGTTCCTCAGAACGTTAAATACAAAATTAGCATATGTCCCAACAATTCTACTTCAAAGCATATACTTAAGAGAAGTAAAATCATGTCCACACAAAAACCTGTGCATGAATGTTTATAACAGTATTATTGATAATAGCCAAGTGAAAACAACCCAAATGTCCATCAGCTAATGAATGGAGAAGTAAAATGTGGTGTATCCATCAATGGGATATTTGGCAATAAGGAATGAAGTAGTGATACATACTGTATTGCGGATAAACTTTGAAAACATTTTGCTAAGTGAAAGAAGCCGGTCACAAAAGACCACATATTGTATAGTTCCATTTATAGCAAATTGCTAGAATAGGCAAATCTATATAGACAAAAAGTAGATTAGTCTTGCCCAGGGGACAAGTGAGGGGGGCGGAGTTTTTGGAGGAAATGAGGAATGACTGCTAATAGGTTCAGGGTTTCTTTTTGGGGTGGTGAAAATTATACAATTGATTGTGGTTATAGCCGCACAACTTTGTGAACATATTTAAAACCATTGAATTGTACACATTAAATGAGTGAATTATATGGTATGTTGATAAAAAAAATTTTAAATTGAGCAGTACCCAACTAAACAAAATATGAAGAAGAAAACATTTGAAAATGTGTCTATCTTCTATAGGTAGAGAAGAATTAGTTGATTGTCTCTAATTATCATTTTTCTTTTCATTCTCTATCCTTCTAGTGGCTGACTAGGCTTATTAAATGCATACACTTTTGCGTTGAATGTTAGTAAATCATAATTCATTTTTGGCAGGAATTGAGTTCTTCTCAGACTTTATCACATGATGGAGGATTCTTCAATAGACTGGAAGATGATGTTCATAAAATTCTTATTAGAGAAAAAAGAAGAGAACAGCTTACAGAATATAATGGAACAGATAATTGCGCTGCTCATGAACACAACCAGGCATGTAAAATAGAGAATTCTCTTAAAATCACAATGAAACTAAAATAAAATTTTTCTTTTAAAAAAAATTTAAGCAGTAGAATCCAATTATGTGATTCTATTAAATTACAGTTTTAGAATTTGTCTTAATCATAGATATTTATATTTAAAAATGTGAAGTACTTCATTCACTGATGGATATTTATTGAGCATTTGGTATATACTAGGTTAGGCTGTGGCATAGGGTAGTAGGAATACCAACATGAATTAGACTTCCTTTTCCTTAGACACTCAGAGTAGTGGGGATTAGAAGAGGTAGACCTGTAAGGAGAATATTATTCAGCAAAATGAAGGCATTTAGAGACATATGAACAATAAAAAAGAGGTCTTGAATAGAAAAAGTAATAGATCAGTCAGGTGAATTGTGAAAGGTATATGAAAAAAGACATTTGGGGTGGATTTGGAAGGATGAATAAGCTGAGAAATGGAGGAAGCCTAAGGGAACTGCAAGAACAAAGGCCAAAAGTTAGGAAAGGCCCTAGTTAGACTAAATATTCAGGAAACTGAAAAATTCTGTGTTTTAAGAAATATAGAGTTAAGTTAAATGTGGGATAACACCACCAGAGAAATAGATTGCATTTAGATTATAAAGATTTTTTATGTGAAACTAAGAATTTTATCCTGTAGACCAGGGATTGCAGACTGTGGCCCATGAGTAGAATCTGGCCAGTAGTCTGTTTTTGTAAGGCCTACAAGCTAAGAATGGCATACACGTTTTTAAAATAGCGTCTTTAAAAAAAAAAATCGCATCATATGGAGACCTATAAATCTGCATTTATTTTCTCACCACAATCTCATCTTCTATCTTACTTCCTCTTAAACTTTGAACCTGTTCATTACCTTATGTTTACCTCCAGTCCATCAGTAACTTCTCTCCTAGCCTGAAAACTTGTAGTAATTTCATTAATATCCCCATGAACACTTTCCTCATACTTCCTTGATTTTCTTTTATTCCCTGGTTCCCATTACGCAGCATTGGCTCTCACAGAATTGTCTGCCTTTTCTATTCTGATTTAATTCCTGGGCTGCCAGATATGACTGGTGTTGGATTCTGATAATCAGTGCTGTGTAACTTTTACCATATCCTTTTTATTCATAACAGCCAGGACTGCCTAACAGTCCTTTGATTCATCTCTTTCTGACTTTGACAAATTTCTACAATGGTATACCAAATTATAAAAGCCCATTTTCTATCCTTTTACTCTCTTCAACGGATGTTATCTTTTTGTTTCCTAAGACTGATAAATTCAATCCTTCAACAAATGAAACACCTACTGTATTGTTTTATAGGACACATGAGAAGTCAGACCCTTTCAGAATTTTTTACTACAATGTAGCAATAAGATTGGTTAATAAATAACACTAACATAATTTCACACGAAATATCTATTTCAGGTTAGCCATAGGAAATGCTTGCCCTCGCTGAGGTACTCGTGAGCTGCTACTTTTCTGACACTGAATTAAATTTGATGTTTTTCTGTATTGCCTTGACAGAGTTTATGTACAGTCCAAGCAACCATGTTAACATTTATGGTTAGCATATTTGCTTCCTTCTTTTTTATTATGAGTTTCCCCTTTGTGGTCCATTTCGTCTTATTTTTTAAAAGCCATATCAGATAATTTTTGGAGAGAAAGAATATTAATATATTTCAACAAATAGGTATTTCAACCCCTTTGTAGAACACGGTTGGTATATATGTGTAGTTAAATGATTAAGTAGTATCAATGATTGAATAAAACCATAGGACAGTGCAGTACAATAAAAGTCTTTGAAATCAAACCTAATAACACAAAATATAGCTTTCACAGCTTATCAGCTACGTTACATTGGGATGAAGTTACCCACCTATACTGTTAGTAGGAAAATTAGAAATTATGATTTACAATGTTTAGCAGAGCATGTTGTACAGAGTACACATTTAGTAATTACTTTTGTACATTGTAGAAAATGTTAAGTCCAAAAAAAGGATACATTAATAACGTGTCACAGTAATTTGAAGGAATGGAGATCAGGGATGGTATTCTTAGAAGAAAATAGCTTTTGAATTGGAATTTAAAGGACAGTAGAGTTTGAACATACTCTAAGGGAGAAGAAAATGGAATGCCGTGAGTAAAAGTATTGAAGTAAAGGTATAAACCAGTTTGATTAAAACAGAAGGATCATAGAGAATAGTATCGGCTGTTTGGTAAGGTAAGTTGGAAAAGATTATGGGAGATTTAAAGGCCTGATTTATGATTTAGTCAGTAGATAGTAAAGAATTTTTTAAGGTTTTGAGTAGAGAGCAATGTTTTATATGGTAATATTCCACTGCAGTGCCTAGTAAAACTGAATGAAGGTGAGGACTAGTTATAGGAATTAGATAATACTCAGTATTGTTATGGATATAGAACAATAGTACCATACTATAGTGGTAGTGTAAATTGGTATAACCATTTGGAAAACAATTTTACATTAACTTTTGAAGTTGAAGATGATGGGCAGACTGTATGTTCTAGAAATTCTACCCTAGATTAAACCCTGGAGACATCTTCAGGAAGAATGTTGAAAACTCAGTTGTTTGTAATAACGAAATTGATAGGAGAAATTAATGACAGCTATACATAGCAACATAGATGAATATCAAAAACAAAATGCTTAATAAAAACTTAAGTCACCAAATAATAGTTTGATGCCATGTATATAAGTTTCAAAAAGTAGAAAATTTAATATATTTTTAGGTGTGTGTGTGTGTGTGTGTGTGTGTGTGTGTGTGTGTGTAGTATAATGGGAATATAATGACAAACATAAAATTTGTAATAGTGGATATCCTCAGGAGGATATGACTGGGAAGAGAGGCACATGAGGGATACCAAAGTATTGGTAATGTTCAAATTCTTACTTTGCATGTTGAGTTATTTTTCTTTTTACCTTGCATCATTTATATATATTTCTTTCACATGTGAAATTTTTCATAATTAAAAATATTAAGATTTTTCTTATACTGTGTCATCGAGTGTAATAGAGAGGAAAAGATTGAGACCATTTAAAAAGTACTTTTTTTTTTTAACCTTTCTTTCTCCATTGTACTCTTTTCTCGGAGAAAGCTCTTCTTTTTGCCAAGGTTAAAATAATTTTTTATAGTACATTAATATACCAGAAAATTTTATTTTAGATTTTTAAAAAGATTTTTATTAAAATATAGCTAACATACACTATTATTTTAGTTTCAGGTGTACATCATAGTTATTCAACATTTATATACCTAAAGAAGTATATAAGTACAGTAACCATCTGACACTGTACAGTGCTTTCACAATATTGACTATATTCCCTATGCTGTACATTATATCCCCATTACTTATTTGTTTTATACCTGGAAATTTGAACCTCTTATTCCGCTTCACCTTACTACATTTAAAAATTTTTCAATTACAGTTGACATTCAATATATATATTAGTTTCAGGTGTACAGCATAGTGGTTAGACATTTACCAGGAATTTTTAAAGGTGAAAAATAATTCAACCCTAACACAACGTTTAGTTTCTTTTTTGAATACTTCTTTTCTAGGAAAATGCCACATGTATAAGCATTTAAAAATAATTGTAAAAGTAAAGAATTTAGTTTCATAGCCTTTTGCATACCATTAATTATATTCTGTCAAATCAACATGCTATAATTTGCTTGGTCAGTGCCTTATTGAACAATTAGGTTGTTTAGAATTGGTCAGCTGATATTCATTGAACATCTTCATATATTTTATATATATATATATATTTTTTTTAAATTTTTTGATGAATTATTTCCTTGGAATAAATTCTTTAAAAAAGTAGTTGAATCAAAGGATATAAACATCTGTGTTGCTCTTGATGTATATGAACATTGTCTTACAGTAGCAGGATAATTTTTCCACACCTTCACTGGCATTGGGTAGATCATCTACTCCTGATCCCATTCCTCTTTATGGCCTTCAGATCTTTGTATTATTAATTTCCCTCATAGCATATTTTACCCTTTTATTCTGTGGATGCCTTATACTTACTACGTCCAAACTCAGGCTCATTATTTCCTCTCCAAACCAAGCATTTGGCTTGACCTCCATCATTTCTGTTTTTGGTTTCATCATTTTATCTAGATATACAGACTATAAATCTTTTTCACATTACTGTTTTTCATGGCTTGAGAGTTTTTAATCTTTGGAATATTTTTCAAATTCTTTTACATTCTCACTAACATTTCTCTAATATATTTCTCTTTCTAGTATTCAGTAATCTTTTAACAAGTCTTTCTGCCTCCTGACTTCTCATGCTACGTAATTTATGTTATACACTGCTAACAGCTGACTTTTTTTTAAAGCATGACTTCACCATGCCACACACCATGTCCTTAAATTTTAATGTCTGTTGAATCAAATATAGCAGGTCCTTAAATAACATGATTTCGTTTGATGTCGTTTCATTATAACATGATGAGATGCAGTTGGAACTTAACTCTTGTTTATATCAATTAGCCTATGGTAAAATTGGTTTTGTTATACGTAGTTTTGCTTAGAGTTGCAGAACTTATCCACAGCCTTAAGTGAGGACTTACTGTACGATGTCCTTGACCTGACATTTAAAGTCCTCAGGTCCCGAAATCAATTTAGAAGAATGCTACCAGCACTTATAAAAAGAAAAAAGAAAAAATGTCCAAGTATATGACATCCATTCATATTTTATGAAATTTGTTTCTGTGTGTATGTTTTATTATGGTACTTACTTTTCTGTGTATATATACTTTCCCCCCCCAGTAATGTAGAAACTATTATGTGGACTACTTTTTAGTTAAATGCAGATGGTGAGCATGTCAGATTATTGAATAATAGTTCTTGAACATCAAATAATTGTGTTTTTAATAACTAAATTTTATTTACCCACACTGAGAAAAAATATTCTAAATGTACCAGTTTGATTATTTAACATTTCTTGTTTGCTATTGAGATTGTACACTTTTTCATGTTTATCGGTCATATGCCAATTATATGGGTTGTGACATATTTTCTTCCAGCATTTCATTTCTTTTGATTTAGTTATAGTATTTTTGGAGATTTTTCAGCAAGTTAAATCTATTAATCTCTAATTTTCTCCTTTTGGCATCATGTTCAGAATGACTTTCCTACTCAAAAATGATATTCACACTCATCTAAATTTTAATACTTATGTGCTTTCATTTTTTCAAAATTAAAACAGTATGTTATATTGTTAAATGATTATGTATACCTCAGTATAAGACAATTTTGATAAGAGAAATATTTAAGTGAAATCTTCCATAATCTCATGTTCTAAGAGAGTTATTAATTTTGTTGTATGTCCTTCCGGTATTTTTCATTGGTATATAGCATCAGAATTTTGGGATCATATTAATATATTTTATAGTTTATATCATCATTTTTAGCGATTTTAGAGTTTATAGCTTTTTTTAATTTAGCATGTATTTTAGCCTGTATCTTGCAGTCGGGCATTTAAATTGTTGTCCAATTTTTTGATGTAATAAATCTGCAGTGAACAGTCTGATAGATATTCTTACCCTCATTTATTTAAGATAAATTCCTAGAAGTGAGATTCCTAGGCCTAATAGTATTTATAAATTTTAATTTTGATCCACCAACCTTATTCCTTAACTAGAAACCTGAAATGTCTATCTTTCTCACCTGCTGCATTCAACTTCATTAAATGCTCTTGATTCCTACATTCAACCTCATCATTAAATGCTCTTGATTCTGCTTCCAAATAATTTGTCACATGATACACTTCTTTACGTTTAAACTGCTTCCACCCGAATACAAGGCGTAATCTTTCTGATTTGGGTTTGCAGTAGCAATTAAAGGATCTTTCCAGTGGTCTTACCGCACTCATTCATTTTCCACATATCACCCAAAATCATCCTTTAAAAACATAGATCTAACATAAGACTTATAGTCCTGCTCAGAATCCTTTACTGTTTTCTATTTTACTCAGAATTATATGCAGACCATTGTTATAGCCTATAAGGCCCTCCAAAATCAGGCCTCTACCTGTTTTTTCAAAATCTCTTATTCTATTTTCCCACTAAGTTCCAACCATACTGGCCTCTTTTTCTTCAAATTTTCTAGGCTCTTTCCTGCCTCAGAACCTTTAAACATACTGTTTTTTTTTTTCTACCTGGAAAGCTCTTACCTCCACTTTTTACTTAGCTAATTCCTACTCATCACTCAAAGTTCATTTTAAGTGTATCTGCTTCAGAGAGAACTTCCCTGATCCATGAGGGAGTAATTCATGTTATTCCCTTTATATCACTATGCTGCTTTTCTTGGTAGTTTAAACTTTGGTTTCTAATTGTAGCATTTCTTTATGTTACATCTGCCTTCTGTATCAGACAAGTCTCATGAGGGCAAGAATCTGGTCACCATTTTATACCCAGCACCTAGCAGTTAGGTACTCAGTTAATAATTTTAGAATAAGTTAATATTACCACATTAATCATTAAGTAAATAGAACCGATTATACTACTATCAGAAGTATGACTTTGGGTTGATTTTTTACATTTAAGTTTATTTTAGTATATGTTGCAAGATGGCAGGAATTTAACTTGATTTTTCCAAGTTAAATTTTTCCAAATTTTTCCATTTGTCCTATAACGTACCATTATTCTGTAATTCAGCCTTTTCTCACTTTTTAAAAATACAATATATTACAATAAATTCTTACATCTTTAATCTCTCTTTGGACTTTCTTTTCTGGTACATTGCTCTGTCAACCTATGTGCCTTGACCATGCTATTTTATTTATTTTTGCTGTGTAGTACACAATTATTTGTTAGGCAGATTCCTCTTCATTACATTAACTTTTTATTTGTTTCCATCCTATATTCTCCCAGATGAAGTTTTGACTGTCTTGCTGATAGTACAAAATCCTATCAGAATTTCAATTGAAATTTTATTGAATGTACAAAGTAATATTTAGTCTTCCTGTCTACAAATAAACTTTGTTTTATATCTCTTTTCAATATTTTGTAATTTTCATTATAGATCCTGAAAATTTCTAAATTTTAATCTTAGAGATATTTTTTATTGCTATTGGGAGGAAATGGTTTTTCTAGTTATATCTTCTTCCTGCTAATTGCTAATATGGAGAAAAACTATTTTTGTTCTTTATTATTTATTTTGTGTTTGTTTTCTCATAAGTTTTCAAATCTTTTTGTTTTTGTTTTTGTTTTTGTTTAGGCGAGGCAACCCTTGGTTGACCGCACAGATTGCAAGGACCTTGTCAGCCTTCAGTCCCTTATTTTTTATTTAATGCCTACAGCACCTGGTCTTCCTAGGTGGTCTCCCATCCAAGTACTAACAAGGCCCGACCCTGCTTAGCTTCTGAGATCAGACGATATCGGGCTTGTTCAGGGTGGCATGGCTGTAGACAAATTTTTGGGTTTTAAAGATAGACTAATAACAGCTTGTCATAGAGCACTTTTAATATGTTTCTGCATAGAAATATTTCAAAGCCCTGATATTGTTTGTAGTTTGAGATTAATCATAAATGTCTTATTTGCTTACATTATACATAACTGCAAATATATCATTGATTAGAAGTGGAAATAAAGTCAGTAGTTTAAGGTTGCTGTAGAAAGTGAACTAAAATTGGGAAAATGGGGATTTTTTTCCTCTTAAACTTACACAAGAAAATATTCTAAAGCAGAATCAGCAGACTATCTTAGTTCTAAAATAGTGTTTTTCTCTCTTCAGGAAGTAGTTTTGAAAGATGGAAGAATTGAAAGACTAAAGTTGGAACTTGAAAGGAAAGATGCAGAAATCCAGAAGCTGAAAAATGTGATCACTCAGTGGGAGGTTTGTGCTTATTTATTGTCGTAAACTACTAATTTGCATATTTTCTATTTTTCTCCAATGTAAATATGTGTAACGAATGTTTGGTTGAGAGAATAATGTTTCTGCTGTTTAGGTTTTTAAAAAATTTTATATTAGTTTCAGGTAGCACAATGGTCTGACATTTATATAATTTACAAAGTGAATTACTCTAGTACCCACCTGGTACTCTACATAGCCGTTAGAATATTATTAACTATTTTCCCTGTGCTGTACTGCACATCCCCATGACTATTATGTAACTACTAATTTATACTTCATAATCCCTTCACCTTTTTCACCCACCCCCTCCAACCATTTGCTATTTAGGTTTTTAAATGCTTTCATTAATGACATAAAATTTGAATGTTGATAAAATTTATTTTTATGGTCTAATATTTTTATATAGTCTAATGGTGAAGATAAACATGTAAATAATTGCAGTACAGTGTAGTCTTTATAAGTGAGATTTGCCTGAGAGCTCCAGAAGCACAGAAACAGGAATGAATTGGTTGCTGCTATTGAAAATTAGTAAGGATTTTACAGAAAAGGTGGTATTTCCAGGTAAAGAAAACAGCACATACAAAGATGTGGGAATGATAGGAAATACCTTGTCGTTGACATTAGAGAAATGAGAAATTGTAGAAGGTGAGATTGGAAATGTTAGTTGGAGTCAGCATTTGAAGGCTGTAAAGGTCTTTAGAAGTGAAGTGACATGAGAATTGAGAATTGTTATGTGAGGTGGTAATGCACATAGCTGAAGCCTGGAGTTAATATAGTTTGGTAAAACAACAGGTATTGAGTGTTGAGTGTAAGAGCAAGAGCACATTTTGAACTGGTTTGGGCAGTAGAAATAACAGACCCCATTTTGGACATGTTGGGTTTGAAATGGCAATAGATTCAGGCATTGATGTTCAGGATGCAAGTGGGTACAGTGGAGTCACAACATTTGTGCATTTAACTTTAAATGCTCTCTTTTTCATGAAATTAAACACACCAGTAAGGGCACCATATATGTCATTTATGTTCTTTATTATAAATGATATGGTGCTAGTATTTTGTACATTTATGTTTTTGTAGATACATTTACTTACTATTCTAAATGGTATGGTTCTAGTATTTTGTACATTTATGTTTTTATAGATACATTTACTTACTATTCAGGATTGTATATATAAAACTATGCTATTTTTATAGGCAATATAAAGAATATTCATGGATAATTTTGCTCATTTGCAATTTTTGCTTTATGAGCTGACTTTAGACCCTAAGGCTGATATAAGAGATGCCTCCATGTACACTGATCTGTATCTTGGACAAAAAAAGACTTGAGCTAGAGATAGATTGGTGAGATATTAACATTGATTGATACTCTGAGAGTGAGAATTTCATAGTAGATACAGTTTTATATTCACAGTGGATATATTTCTGTATTCATAGTGAATATATTTGTAGTTGACTGTATAAAGTTTTCCCCTTCATATTTTTGTTTCTATCTGACATCTCTCTCCTTCATTTCTAACCTCAGATGGTCCTACTCCCTTTATATTTACTGTGGTGCTCAGCTTCTGTTCACTATTATCTGAAGTATTACTCAGTTACATTACTGATTTATCATTAGCAATTGACCGGACAGAGTATTTAGTAAAAGCCATCTTTGCTGGACTTAATTTAAAATACATTAACTTTGTTTTACAAGAAAGACTTGAATCTCCTAACTTCTGTACATATCTGTGTACATGTTGAAGGAAGAAATGACAAGTTTCTTATACTGATCTGTTCCTCTGATTTCTTGTTTTTCTATAATGTATTAAATGTATTTTTTTCTAATGTATTAAGTATTTATAAGTAATTCAGAGTATGTTATATGTTCAATAAAGGCAGTGTAGGGGGAAAATTCCCTGGATTATGGCCATTACTGTGGGAACATAGTTCCTCTTGTTCACAAATGTACAGTTGTGTCATATATGTAGTATGAGAAAAAGCTAAGTCATTGGGGAAAAAATTGAAAAAGAATTAAAAGATATTTCAGTAAATTAACAATTCATATTAGTAAAAAATTACTTTAACAATAATTAGTGAAATAACAAGAGATTAGTAAATTTAGCCTTAACTGAATAGCTAGAACTATGCTGTAGAATTTAGCAACCACTATGTGTGTGTATCTTAAAGTTAAAATAAAATTAAAAATTTATTTTCTCAGTCACACTAGGTGCATTTCCAGGAGTTAATAGCCACATATTGGACAGTGTCAGATATAAAACAGATACAGAAAGTTCTAGTATAATGCTGAATAGTCTTGGTACAGAGCTGTGAATCATTTTTCTTTTTGTTTTCACCTAATTCTTTTGAATTATTAGGGTTTTATTTGCGGAAGGGAAGAGAAAGGCTTTAGGAAATTTTAATATTTTCCAGAGTTTGCTCCACTTTTATCCTCTCTTCTTTATTTTTCAATCACCTGTAATATTAATTTTTATTATTATACCAGGGATTGAATTTAAGTAGTAGAAAATTTTGAATACATTTTCGTCCATCTTGTTTCTTTCAATAATAACTTATGTCTTTGAGCAAGCCAAGAATTCATAGCTCCATAAATTAATAGTAAATTATTAATTATATCATTTACTTTTTAAAAATTAAATCTTTTTTCTTTGACTATTAGGCAAAGTATAAAGAAGTAAAGGCAAGAAATGCACAGTTATTGAAAATGCTTCAGGAAGGTGAAAGTAAGTGATTTTTGTGTTTTTAGAATTAAAAGTTAATCTTAAAAAATATTTGAAGATAATTTTCAAGATATATGATTTATTGACAACAAAATAGAAAGGTTTCCAAGAGTGATACAAACTGGATTATTGCTGATAACTTTATTATTATAAGTTACTCTGTAGCACATTAGGTATTATACAGATTTATAAGTATTCAGATAAGAGAAATCTTGAAATTTCATTTCTTACAAATTATTAGATTAATTTAGCAGGAAAACAAAAATAACATTTGCTTGAGATTCTTTTTAATTATTAGAGGAGAAGGCCTGTTATCATTTTAGGTTTTCCTTCTCTCTGACCCCCCACTCTTCATACTTTTGCTGCCACTCTAAACTTTTGGCAATAGGTCACCAGCAGGAAGCTAAAGAAATCAGTCAAAAATGATTAGAGGTAATAAGATTAGAAAAGTTGATGTTATATGAAAACCTCCACAAATCAGTTGATTTCCTAGTGACACCTTGACAATTCTATGAAAATTTTACAATTCATAACAAAAGTACATTAATTTTTTAATGTAAAGTTTATGCAAAGGAATTACAAACCATAAGAGACATAAAGACATGAATAAATGAAAAAGTCTTCTGAATAGACAAAATTAAGTCTAATAAACAATTTTCCCTGTTAATTTTATAACTTTCAAATTTTTTATAATATAACTATAACAGCTATTATACAGCTTAACTATAGTGAAATGGAAGTTAACGAATAATGAGGAAAGGCATTATTTGAACAATTAGATATCAATATCCTGAGATTCATTTAGATCTGTACATGTTACTGAGCTTCATGTGGATCATTTAATGAATAAAATTATGAAAATAAAATAATTGTTTACAAAGTATCTTCCTAATTGAAGAAATTAAGAGTATCATTGGACATTGGGTATATGATTTTTAAATGTGTAAAAATAAATATTCTTTAAGGAGATAGTTGTAAAAAGTGAGAAAATTAACTGATAAAAGCTTACTCTCAATAATGGATTAAAAATGGCTACCAGTAAATAAAATCAGTGTCCATACTCCATACTATAAATATTCCAAATAGAAATATTTTATATAGAACTGTTACATGAAAAATACAGTACATTAGAGTATACATACTCTAGCATTTATAATATAATGTAAATATGGTCAGTTATGTTATGGTACAACATGTATTCCTAAAAATCACCAGTCTGCAGAATCACATAGTTAAAACAAAAAGATTTATGAGGAAACTGGAGTTAGGAGTATACAACACTCAAAAACTTTATCAATGACACATTTTAAAAATATGGGACTCTAATAAAAACAGTGTGACAGTTGATAGATGTTAAAATGGTTAAACACAAATACTATACTATGGCACTTTACGTTGAACATAACCTAGTTTGCTTGTAAAAGTAGGCTTCAGAGGGTTGCAGCTTGTATGTTACTGTTAAGTGATAGATGACTTTAAAGTTTGTATGGTTCTCAATACACAGTGACCTGAGATATCTGGTAGATATTTGAGATGTGTGCGTGAGTACAGTCATCTGTGTGCACAAAATTGTGCTTAAGCAAATGCAAAATTCCTATTATGTTTAATTTGTTCCCTAATATGTCAGTATTGTTGAAACAAGCATTAGAGGAGAACTGACTATAGTTAAAATATTACATAATTATTAAAGATCACTGGTTCTCAGTGTGTGTGTGTGTGTTTTAAGTCTGGAGTGGAAAAATAGAAAGTATAATTTGTAAAAGTTATCAAGTTGATTCTTGAGAGACTGATTTGTTTCTTGATACAGCATTATACCTTATTGCACTTCATATTAAACTATGAAAAATAAATTTGAATTACAGTGTTATATTGGTAGAGCTCTGGTATCATGTGCTCTATTTAAACATTTCCTCCTCTACTAATTATATTACAGTTTTACTTTTCAATCTCTCCTAGTTTGTTTTTAAAGTTGAGGAGTTAGTTTTTCATTCATTAGCCATTACCATGGATAAAGCAGTTTGTCAGCCATGTGGAAATTTTTAAAGTTAAGGTACATAGGGGCCAAAATATAGATCTCTTGGTTCCCCAAAGAGGGAAAAACTTCTAGAAAAATGAATAATTCTGAGACCACAGATGTTATATGATCAGTTATGATCATATGAGCTACATTTATTTGATAATACTTTATTGGTATGACATGTCAGATAAAAATAATTTTAGTGGACCTTATAGTATGCTCACCCTGACAATTTAACAAACCAAACCAAACTGAAACTACATTTTTTTAATCTTGAAGATTAGTCAAGGCATTTAAAAAGTTTTCTCCCTTTGTGAATTTTTTTTTTATTTTTTATTTTTCTGTCTTTGTCCTTTTTAGTGTAGATGGGAAAACTTTTTTATCACACACAGACACACAATTAATATTTTAACACTAGAGAAAAGTTAGTTTTCCAAGAAAATCTGCTGTGGAGATAATGATTGGCATTTTTCAGTGAAAAATAAGAGCTATATTGGGTCAAGAAATACATTCATTAAGCATGAAGACAATCTTTGCCTGACTGAAGTGATATCTTGGTTTACTAAAGTAATGTGAAAGTATTTGAGTGATTAAAAAAATTATATTACTCTTTCTCCTTTTTTGTCAGTGAAAGATAAAGCAGAAATACTTCTGCAAGTTGATGAATCTCAAAGTATCAAGAATGAGCTAACTATACAGGTAAGGAAAACTGAATAAGGCTGGTTTTCTTCAGCTGTTCTTTAGTCTTGAGTTATGAAACTTTACTAAACAAAAATAAAGCCCATGAATACTGCAAGAAAGTGATATAAATTATATTTCATTATTATGTAATAGCAAACAAATGAAGATTCTGTTTACTGAGTCAGAGAGGTGTGTATGTCCTGAAGAATAGGGGAAGATAAGGTTATATTTTAGTTGATGTGGACTATGAATATAGAGATAGAGAGGGCAGATAAAACTTATTTTGCTCTTGGACTTGATTTTCTCCCCTTTCTATCCTTATTCTGTGGTCCTGTCTGTCTTTAATATACAGCTGAGTAAAATGCCTAATTGAAATTGGGGTGGTGGGGGAGGCGTTCTCCTCTGATGCCCATTCATCCAGTAGTCAGAAATCATCATTGTGAATACGTGTTAAGAATTAAGAGTATTTGCCTGAAAAGACAAAAGATGTCTTTTTTTTAAATTGAATATTTGGTTATAGGTGACTTCACTTCATGCTGCATTAGAACAAGAAAGATCTAAAGTGAAAGTATTACAAGCAGAATTAGCCAAATATCAGGTATGCTTTTATAATTTTGAAAGTGTATTTATCACAAATAATGCACTACTCTTAGGCCAAAATTTATTCACCAAAAATATTAATAATTTTATTGGTCATATAATTTACATTTTAGAAGATGTTAAGGTTATTCTAGATATTGGCATATACAGCAGTAACTAAAATATTTCAGAAAAATCCTCGGTACTACATTGATGATGTGGCATACATGCCATTGAATCATGTCAAGGGAAGGTATATAATGACATTTGTCCAATTATATAAGTTTAACCACTTGGGTACAGCAATATCTCCTAGATGTCTTCATGGTTAAGGTATATTTACCCCTTTGTAATTAATAATATGTGGAGTGATATTTTGAGCTCGTGTTAATATCCTTTTCACTCAGTGGTTTAGCATCCATTGATGCTATTTGTAGCAGTTATTGTTTTGGTGGTTGCAAAATAGTGATTTTTCTAATTCTGTCATTTTTTCTGCATTTGCAAGCTGGCATTCAGCATTTTTTTTTTTTCTGGATGAAACAGTAATAAATATCAATGCTTTGTTTCAATATGTGTGTACACACACATACATATTTGTATGTATGTGTGTCTAAGTCATGGTATAAAATATGTTAACTAATGTGAGGTCACAATCAAAAAAGTTTGAAAGCCACTAGTGGCCTAGAGAACATAAAAGTTGTTTGGCCCCAGCTTTGCTATCTCATCAGTTGAGGAAGGAGAATTTGCCTAGGAGGCTTTGAAAAAGATCCTTGAAGTTTTTTTTTTTTTAATCTTGTTGAGGGGCAAGGTAAGTGTTTTAAGCTGTATAACTTTGGTACCTATGTATAGTGGGTATCTACTTGTAGAAAATTTTTTTTAAATTTATTTTTGTTTTCCTGCTATCAGGAAATATTGTGTTTAATACATGTCATTATACATCTCAGGTCTCACATAATCTCTTCATACTTATTTCTCTGAAGTTTTGCAAAACTTATTTGGTCAGGAATAAATCACAGTGTTCTTATAGTTGATTTTTTTAAAAAGAAGATTGATATAGAAGTGTTTTTGGTTACCAAAAGAGAAGTAATAGGCAGAAAAAGGACGAAAGAAACCAAGAGAAGCTACCAACATTATTAAATGGACCTAGGTGTCATGTGCCCTGATAAAACCACCATTTAAGAAACCCACTTTCCACGGAAAAGTTTCCAAAGTTCCCAAACTTGGTTGATCGTCAGAATAACTTGAGAACTTTTTGAATTACAGATAATTCAGCCCACACCTGGTAATCTTAAATAAATAGGTTTAGGACATAGTCTAGATATCAGAATTTTAAAAATATTACTACTCAAGTGGTTCTAATGATCAACTAATTTGTCATAGTTTATAAAAATGGAGGAAAACTATTGTAAGGCAGATACATCAAACCATTATTTATGGTTAAAATGGAGGGTAGAGTAGTTATGGGTGATTTTAATTTTCTTCTTTATACCTTTGTACTTTCCATATTTCTACAGTAAGTATTTACTTTTAAAATCAGAATAAGGAAGAAAATGTTCTGTTAAAAGTAATTAATGTAAAATACTTCTTGTCTTTTATGCTGCATTTCTCTTTCCTTGTCTGAAGTCAAAAATTATAAATGGAGTTTCAGTCAGGCACATTAAATACAGATGTATATTTGTCACTGAGCATTATGAAAAGTATAACCTACATTTCAATGCAGTGATGAAAAAATCATATTTCTAATGTCTAATATGAACTGAATTACCCAAAAGGGGAATGAACTGAATTACCAAATTTGCTGATCATATGGAATAAATTGTTTTAGTAATGATTGAAAGTTTTATTTTAAAAGCAATCTGGGATAGTCTGAATGAGCTCTAAAAAAAAAGATACTGGTGATCTTACTAAGTCTAGACTAATTCAAATAGAAATAACAACCTACCTTAACCATTCGTAAAAATAACCATGTAACAATAATTTAGTAGTATGCACAAATTTGCAACAGACTCAAAAAATAAATTGCTTCCTTCTCAAATCTCAAAATGCCTTTGGTTTCATGTATTTTTTAAGTGAAAATGCCCACAAAATGGTATTTCCTAAATAATTTGCCCTATTTTTCTTTACAGGGTGGCAGAAAAGGGAAAAGAAACTCTGAATACGACCAGTGTAGGTGATTCTATTAGCCTTTGAGGTCAACACAAAAATTAAAACTTTCAGGGTTTTCCAAAAATGTATATATTTAATGCTGTGCAACTGCTAAACTATGCAGTTTTTTGTTGAAGAAATGCTTAAAACAATTAGCTCACTAACAGTCTATAGTTTTTTGTCCTTTTGGCTTAAAATGAAAAGAAAGATAGAATTCCAACAGAACTCAATGATTATTGTTTATTATCCATACTTCTTATTGCTTTAGTTTTTCATCAGTCAATAAAATTAATTTACTCTTCCATTAATATGTTTGATTTTTTAAATTTCAGAAACAATGTGAAAGTATTATTTTTGCATATAGCACAAACAATTAATCAGATCATTTAAGTTCAGTGACTATTTATTCAGCACTTACTGCATGCAAAACCCTACAGGACTTACAAGACGAGTGAAAAATGATTGATATCCTCAAGTATCTTATGCTCAGGAGAAATAGAAGGTGAGGTTGATTAAAGACAACAGCAGAAGTAATTACCATGCAGATTAGGGTGTGACATTACCTTGGAAACTTGTATGAGATAGTCTTTGGAGGGTAGATAACCTTTTCTGTAAATTTGTTAAAAGGGATTTTAGGCAGAAGGAATAAAATCTGGGCTGAAATATTTGTTTAAAAAACAGTCTGGCTTAAGTATGGAAACAGGACACACTGAGAATAGAAAGTATAGATGTGGGGGAGAAACGAGAGCTTTTTCATTGGTATAATCAATTACTAGAATAATTAGTAGTTTATGGGATTCTTTTTTTTTTTTTTTTTTAGTGTAGTCAATGAAATACAAATATGATTCATTAAAATACCAAGGATTTTTTTTTGTTTTTTTAACAAAGATGAACACATAAATACTGGTCTGGTCTTCCAAAACCAACACTATATGAAAGATTCCACTTCATGACAGTCTTTGAAGAAAAAATACATAATGTCATTATTGTGCTTATGTCTGGCTTCTTCTATAAGGTTACATGAACTTTGCAAAGAATTGTGACTTTTTATTCCCTGTATTCTCAGTGTTTAGTTCTCTGTGTGGCACGGAGGCGATGCTGAAGAATTATTTAATTAATTGAGTGGTAAAGCTTTTTGAGATAGTTTTTCTCTTTTATTAAGAGTAGGGACCATCAGAACCTAATTGACTAAATATATATGGTAATATTCCATAATAACATATTTTTCAACCCAGTGATGAACGAAATCAATTTCTAATGCTCTCTTATATGAACAAGCTAGAGAGAATTTGAATCAGAATAGTTTGAATTATAGTTGAACTACATACCCAAATAGTTAATGAACTGAATTACCGCTGCTCACATTTCTCCTCCTTTGTCCTTTTTTTCATCCTTTTTTCCATCTATGCATGATATTTAATGCCACGTATAGTCCTAGTTGATGCCAATAATAAAAAAGCATACTATATTATCATCTGCTTTCATTATCTGCCTGCATATTATACATTTGGTACATTAGCATCTAGCATGGTGCCTGGAACATGGTAGGCATTTAATAGATACGCCATTCTCTACTGGTGTATATTGGTTTAACATCACTTGGGCACAAAAATTATCTTTCGTGTTGTGTATTCTCTAGAGTACTGTATTCATAGCTCTTTTACCCCCTGAATTCTTTTTCCATGATTAGTGTATCTACTCCTGTGTCTTAATCTGTCACTGTATGCCAGTATTTCAGTTTCAACAGGGAAAGCTTCATCTAGTAAGAGATCGAAAAGACACTCAGTGATCAATTGGTAATTTTCTTCGATCTTTTAAATTGATTTCTTAGGCATTGTCTTTTAATAAATATCATTAGATTCTTTTCAGTTTACTGAACATTCAATAAAATTATTGATCACTTATTATCTGGTATCTGTAATAGAGATTCAAATTTATCCACAATTGGAAGAAAACAAATGTAGAAAGATAATTATAAATTATTCTAATAAGTAATAATTGGTATATTCAAATTGCTATTAGAGTACAGAGAAAAGACACTATATTAAAGGGGGCATCTTAGACAATTTATTTTAATTACTTCAAACTATAATATCTTACTTAAAAAGTGATTAGGGCAGTATAGCCAGTTAATTAAATTTGGAAAATATTTTTGACATCTTCTATAGTGTGTTAGTAAAGGCAGATGAACTAGAGCTATTTTCAAGTCCCAGTTCTGTTACTTATTAGTTGTATGACCTTGGGTCATAATAAACATTCAGTAAATGATTGAACAGAATGAAATTGATTATCAAATGAGAACAGCTTGTGAAAAAAATTAGGTAAGATGGAATTCCTACCTCAAATTATTTTCAGTCTAATAGGAATAAAAAAGCAGAACATATAAGTAAAATTCAAAACAATGCAGTGTATTTCATAACATTATTTAATGGAAGTAAGAAGAGAGTATATTTGTTCAGGAAAGTCAGATGTTACTTATAGAAAAAATAACCTTTTTAAATTAGTATAGGCAGTGACATATACAAGGTCACCCAGTGACTAAATAATGGATCCAGGTACTAGAGTTCTGAATGCAGTTCCAGTCCACTATACCTTTTTTTCAGACTGGTTTGCAGACCATCTGCATTAGACTTACCTGGTGGTACTTGTTAAAAACAAAATTTCAGTCTTCAGCCATGGTGAATCAGTATTTCTGGAGGTGGGCCTGGTTATATAAAATTTTTAAACTCCCTCAGGAGATGATTATGCATGTTAAATTTTGATAATTACTGTATTTCCATTGCTTTTTCTGATACACATATTAGAGTAGTCATTTCTATTGATAGCTTTCAGAATACTTCTCAGGTATTAAGTTCACAGAATTTCAATTTCACCTGTAAAATACCTTGATTTCTTTATTTGTAAAGTAAAGTTTTTTTAGATGATCTCTAAAAATCTTTTTAAAGTCTAAAGGTAAATGTTTTTTGCAGAACTCTTGAAACTAAAATGTACATTTGTATTTAAACAGTGGCTCTAAAATATACTGATACCAAATAATTGGAAAGTACCATCACTAAGGAAAAGCACTTCAAAATTTAAGAGTAAGTTACGAAAATTATCAGTTGTCTACAAGTCATCAACTCCACATAACTCTCCTTTGGTTGAAGTGAATAACCCAGATAGTATTGTTCATTATAACATCTATAGGTAAGGAATTTTATGTGGAAGCCTATTTTAAAGGAGTTTCATTTGAACTAGAACTGCTTTCATATAGGGCATTGTGAATAAAGTGAATTCATTCAGAAGAAAATGCATTCCTAAAATTCAAGTGGAAGAAAGATTTCAAAACTGTAAAGAAAATATTTCAGAAGTAAATTACTACAAATACTTTCTTCTAATAACTGCCAACTTTTTTTGTTTTTGTTTTTGGTTTTTTTTGCCTTTAGCAACAGACCTATTGTACCTTATGAAAACAATGTTAAGTAGCTCCAGTTTGACTTTTTTAAAGTGATATTTATTACCTGAAAATAAAGCACTTTACTAATGTCACCAAGGTTTATCTGAGAAAACATCAGTTACTAAATTTGCAATAGTGGAAGCAACTCAAAACAGGTGTGGTTGATGTAGATCAAAACAGCAAAAATGAAATTCAAGTGCAGGAGTAATATACTAATTTTCAAGCAACATTAACATCCTACAGCAAGAAGTACAAAACTAGATATCACCTGTCAGTTCTTTTAAATGTCCTGCAAATCTGTCAGTCTGTTGAATGAGAAATACATACTTGGCCAAGAAACTAGGAAAAAATTTCTCCTCACTTCTAATAGTTGGAATTCAAAACTACTCTGAACTAATCAACCTTAACAATATTCAACATTTAATAAATTGCTAGCCATGCTTAGCAGAAAAATGTTACCTGTAATTAAAATGGAAAACCAGCCAATAGAAACAGACTCAGAATAGCAGAAATGATGGAACTAGCAATAAGGATGTTAAAACAACTATAACTATGTTTATTCAAAGGAAAATGTGAACATGAGAGAAATTGAAAACAAAACAACCAAATAGAAATTTCACAGATGAAAAGTTTAGTATCTAAAAATAATTTTTGATTATTTAGGGTTAATGCAAATGAGACACTGTGGAGGAAAATATTATTAAAATTGAAGCCAGAGAGATAGAAACTATCCAAAGTGAAGCATAGACAGAAAAAAGACTGAACAAAACAAAGCCATGGTAATCTGTGGGACGGTATCAGTTTAACATATATGTAAATTGATTTCCAGAAGGATGAGAAGATGAGGACTGAAAAATTTGAAATAATCTCTGAAAATCTTTTAAATTTGATGAAAGCTATAAAGCTACAGATTCAAGAATTTCAACAAACTCCAAGAAGGTTAAAGCACATACCAAAACAAGACAAAATCATTTCAAGACACATCATAATCAAATTGCTGAAAAAAAATGATAATCACCTTAATTGTAGCTATATTAACTCTTTTAAAAGAGTTTTATTTGAACTAGAACTGCTTCCAAATGCAGCATTGTGAATAAAATTAACTCATTCTGAAGAAACCACATTCCTAAAATTGAAGGGGAAGAAAGATTTTAAAACTATACTCCTAATGGCAGTATATGAAAGTTCCCTTTTCTTTATATCCTTAATAACACTTGGCTTCATCAGATTTATTTTTGCCAGTATAATGGGTATAAATTGATACTTTTAAATTTGTTAAAACCGAATTTTAAAAAATGGGCAAATGAATATCCGGCTCTTCATATGAAGTGAAATCCAAGTGGTCAATAAAAATATAAAAATGTATCCACCCTCATTTAAATTCAAACCACAATGAGAAATCATTTATACCTTTCCTCACAAGGCAAAAATGTAAAAGTCTTATAATACTAAGGGTTGTCGAAAATTTGGGCTAATTGAAATTCTCATACAGAGCCGATAGTGTAAATTGTTACAAGCATTTTGGAAATATTTTTTGGCATTATCTCATAAAGCTGAAGACTCATGGACCCTATAATCTAGCAATTCTACCGATAAGTATATATACCCTGGAGAACTTTATGTTTTATGAGTGTCAGAATATTCACAAAAGCATTGTTTGTAATAGAAAAAAAAATGGAAAATTCATCTAAAGTAGGTTAACAAGCCCCACCTATACAGAACAACATGTTAGATGGATCTAGCAGACATAGTACTAAGTGAAAGAAGGAAGACAAAAGACTGCAAATTTTATACATAAGAAATTTGAAAGGCAAAATTGCGTATTGACATAGGTGATAAAAACAAGTTTATTATGAAAGTCATTTTATTGTT